TCAGTTCTCACCCAGTCCTCGTTCATCTCAGCATCACATTATTGGTCGCATGCACTATCCAAGAGATCCTTAACATCCTTCGAAAACCCAATCTTAAAGTCTTTTATCCGTCTCATACTTGTAATTCCAAGAATCCATGTTTCCACTCCTTATAACTGTATAGAAATGATTATACTAATAATAGTCTCTTTTTTTACCACTACTGCGGCTTTGGGACCATAGTGAAGTAGTCTGCTATCTCTTGGGCCTAATGAATACAAACAAGCTAACAGGGCCAGTGCTACGCTTCAAACGCCTATTATTACCTCTGGATTTATCCAAGATACTCAGTTTATTAAGTCTGCGTCAACCTCAGCACTCTATGTGTTGTGCAACTTTAAACAAACAGTGGTAAGTATCGACGGGAATTAAGATAAGGATCGAGAAGGCAAGATTAGCATGATGATGAATCATTATTAAGAACACTTTTTCAATTTATTAAAACTCTTGACAATGCGTATTAGAGCAAATGTAAATACCTATTTGCCGCAAATTGTACAGTACTTCAAGAACTTAAAGTTAGGTTCATAATGTGGTTATCTCCTTCCACTGGGTATTCACCTAAACTCTCTTTTTTGTAGAACAAATAAGGTAGATTAGTTCTTGTAAAACACTAAAGCGGTTCAAGAACCCGTGTCCATGAGGGATAGTTGATCCCAGTGAGGGGGCTACTTGATCCCTGGGATAAAGTATCCCACCTATGATGCAAAGCATAAGTAATTATTGCCAATTATGAAAGGTAATTAAATCAATAAATGAAACAAATTAAACTACCTACTTTACTAAAATAAAAACATAAAATACAAAAATAAATTGAGCCAAAAGCGAACAATTATTTAGAAAACATTAGCATCAAATCTATGGTTAAATTTTATAATGTCAGCAGTCCAGGCCGTTCTGCTGACGGACGGCTGCGGCAGCTTTTGTACGTCTGTCCGGTCCACTTCGCTGACGACCTCTACTGTTGGAAAAGTGAAATAGCTTCCTCGTAGTCCCTTCCGCCCTAAGAATTTAACTTATAATGTATTTTCTTTCAGACACAAAACTTCATTGTTTTTTTAGTACAAGACTTGACTAAAACATAGTCGTTTGGCATAGGATCCGTGTCATCAATAAGCGCATCATCTAAAAGTAAATCAGAGCCACCGCTGCTATCTGGAAGGCTGGGAAGATCATCCTCCTCCTCATCAATTGAATCGAAAAGTTCAGTGTTTCTAAGTGTTGGAAGCTTTTCTGTTCTTTTCTTATTGATTGCGGCTTTCTTAAGTTCTTCAATTTCCGCTTTTTCAAGGGTATCAGTTAGGATGCGAGAGCGTCCCCTATTTCTACCTAGAGAAGATCGAGCACGAGGTGCTGCCTTGGGATAGGGCATGATGTATAGAAAAATGTTTCACAGACATTATATCCGATGTTGGATTGCAAGATTTTAGAGCCCCAGACAAGGTTGGTTCTATAGAAATTGATGTACTAGCACTAGGCGTTGGCATCAATTGGATCCAGAACTGATTCCTGAATCAAAGTTGGGTCTGGACGGTTACAGCGCTGGTCATAAATTCGTCGTTAGTAAATATGTTTGGATTTATCGGCCATATTCCAGATACCTTGAACCCAATTATGATATTTGAAGGAGCCATGACTCGGGGGAACGCATCTCTAAGCAGTTCTGCAATGTCGTAAATGGCAATAGTTCTCCCGGGAAATTTGAGCATACAATTGGAAGCTGCTTGGGAATAGTAAGTCTTTAGCGGACCAAAAACCGCGTGGTCCAATGGCTGCAACTTATGAGAGGTGTGCGGCGGAATTGTAAGAAATACGATGCCGTTGTCTTTCGCATAATTTACAGCCTCGAATGAACAGTGGTTCTCATGATTGTCCATAACAATTAAATGTTTCCGATCTAGGCTTGGCTGAGCGAAACGAACAAGGTGTTCAAAAAACTTCAGAAAACCAGAGCAAGTCATCCATCCACTGGGATATATTGTTGCATTGCTGCCAGGAGGTGCATGGCTTAGAAACTTGTCCCGCCAGTTTTTTCTGGGAAATATCATGTAAGGAGGCATGTAACCCCCTGCAGAATTGATGCCAGCGCACACCGTAACCAGTTCGCCTCGTTCTGCAGATGTAATTTTGCCCACCTGCTTCCACCCTTTCACAGCAATTATTTTAGCAGATTTGTGTACTGTAATGAGGCCATTTTCGTTAATATTCCATATACGTTCAGGAGGAAATTGGTACCGTGTATAAACTTTAACAATTAACTACGTTAATTGATTAAATAATGTACCAACTATGTGACGATTAAAAGCTGAGCTTAGTTCCAAGCTTGTGGCTTCTGATGTCTCTAATGACAGCGTAAGGTTTCTATCAAGAAAACCTCGGTACCAGTCGCGGCCAGCTTGCTTTATTTTATCCAAGGCATGGGGATATGATATCCTATTTGTTGCAGCATAGGAGTATGCCAATTTGCGCAATTGCACCACAGTAAGACCGTAATACATCTTGGACATATCTTTCGAGAACATACCAAGTTCTTTTTGGAACTCTTTTCGTCGCTCCTATTTTAGTTGGGTACTTACGTGGCATCTGAAAAAATAAACATAAATAAACTTAATTACATTAAACACGAGATTAAAAGAAACACAAAGTGGGATACTTAATCCTGGGATCAAGTATCCCCCATTTAATAGGATCAACTATCCCTGCAATGACATTTTTCTAACAAGTGCAAGTTTTATGTTAAAACAATTACAATTTAAATATCAATGTTTTAGAATTTAGTGGATAAAAGTACACATGTTTCACCTATTTGGGCAGTATAATTATAAACTAAACGAATTAAAGTTGTTATAACTTAACTTAATAACTTAATATCATCATCATCATCCAGCCAATCGCGTCCACTGCTGGACATAGGCCTCCCTCAGTTCTTTCCAGTGTTCTCTACACTGGGCCGCTTGTAGCCAGTTTCCCGCTACACGTTTAATGTCATCGGTCCATCTAGTCGGTGGTCGTCCTCGGCTTCTTGTATAATTTCTGGGCCTCCATTCCATAATACGTCTTGTCCACCGTCCATCTTGTGTTCTGGCTAAGTGCCCTGCCCAGTTCCACTTAAGCGTAGTGGTTCTTTCGATGACGTCTTGAACTCCTGATCTTCGCCTAATTTGTTGGTTTGTTATGTGGTCTCGAAGGCTCACGTTCAGCATTGCACGTTCCATGGCTCGTTGTGTAACTCTAAGTTTATTCACAGATTTTTGCGTGAGTGTTAATGTCTCTGCTCCATAAGTTTGTACAGGTAATACACATTGGTTATAAACCTTTCGCTTGAGACACATGGGAATTGAACTTTTTAGAATATGGCTTAATTTGCCAAATGCTGCCCATGTTAGACCTATTCGCCTCTGTATTTCATGTGTTTGATTGTCTCTGCTTATTTTGATTTCGTGTCCCAGATATTTGTAAGTGTCTGTTTGTTGTATGGTATTATTGTCAATAGTTATATTTCCACTCATTACGAGATTTGTTAAAATTTTAGTTTTCTCAAAGTTTATCTTTAATCCTGCACTTTCAGACAGACTTTTAAGCGAATGCATCATAGAAACCGTATCTTGTAAGTTATCTGCGATTAATACAACATCATCTGCAAACCTCAGGTGATTTAATCTTTCTCCATCTATATTGATGCCCATATCTTGCCATTGAGTACCCTTAAATATTGTCTCTAGAGCTGCCGTGAACAATTTTGGTGAAATATTGTCTCCTTGTCTAACTCCTCGACCTAAGCTGAATTTTTCTGTGTCTTCGTGCAGTCGTATACTTGATGTAGCGTTCTGATAGATGTTTTTGATTAGTGTCGTGTACCTGTAATCTATTCGGCTTTGATTTAGGGCTTCCAGTATTGTTTCAAACTCTACAGAATCAAAAGCCTTCTCGTAATCGACAAATGCAAGAACCAGTGGTATGTTGTACTCGATGCACTTTTCTATTAATATCTTTATGGTATGCAAATGGTCATTTGTGCCATATCCTGCCCTGAAGCCTGCCTGTTCTTTGGGCTGATAGAAATCAAGTTTAGGTGTTAGCCTCTTTGTTAAGATTTTCATAAAGAGTTTGTACATATGTGTCAAGAGGCTGATGGGTCTATAATTTTCTAATTTAGTAATATCGCCTTTTTTGTGTAACAAGACTATTACTGCATTGTTCCAGTCTTTTGGAATCGTACCCGCATGTAAGCATTTAGTAAACAGTTCGCTTACTGATTTTAATAAAATTTCTCCACCTGCTTTTATTGCCTCGATAACGAGTCCGTCATCACCAGGCGATCGATGGTTCTTCATTTCCTTTAAAGCAGCTCTTACTTCTGACACAGTAATGGGTAAAAGTAATTCCGATCCCTGATTTATGAGAGTCTTTACTCGTGTCGGGAAATTGTCTTGTGGTCTTTGGCTGGTATATAGGTCTTTATAAAATTCTCTAGTTATTTTCAGAATATTTTGTTTATCTGTTGTTGCCTTTCCGTCTTTATCTCTCAGCTTGTATATTTCTTTTTTACTTTGCGTAAGTTTTCTTTTCATTATCTTTAAACCTTTGTTCTCTTCTACTGTTTGAGTAATTACATTAGTATTATATCTTCTTACATCTTTTCTAATTTCCGCTGAAATTCTTTTATTTAGTTTTTTATATTCTTCTTTGTTTCCCTTTTCGTTCTCGCTTAGGTTTCGTCGTATTTCCATGAGAGCCCTTGTATCTTTGCTAATCTTTTCACTTTTGGTGTCATTTTTCTTGCAAAATTTGAGTTGTGCGTTTCTAACTGAGTCTGTTATTAATTTATTGTGATCGTCGATACTTAGAGGTTTGGGATTATTACTCTGTAAAGTTTCGGCTATATTTCTTATGTATGCTTCTGGATGATTTGGTGAATTCCAAACTATGCGTTTGCAACTGTTTATCATCTTTGCTCGTTCTTTTTGTAGATTAATCGTTACTTTAGCTCTTACTGGTCTGTGGTCGCTTCCTACTGATAGTTTATTGAGTACAGTGACATCTTGAATAATTTGCTTTTTGTCTGTTATTATATAATCATATTCGCTCTTAGTTCTTCCGTCTGGACTAGCCCACGTCCATTTTCTATTCTGTTTCTTCTTAAAAAAGGTGTTCATTGCATACAGTTTGTGTTGCAGTAGAAAGTTGGTAAGCATTTCGCCTCTTTCGTTTCTTACTCCGACTCCAAAATCTCCGATTGCCACTTCTTGTTCGTCTTTTTTCCTTCCGAGTTTCCCGTTAAAATCTCCCATTATCATAGTGTAATGAGCCGGTTCCTGCTTTTTTGCTCTTTCGATTTCCTCATAGAAGGCTTCGACAATTTCATCTTCGTAATCGCTGGTGGGGGCGTATACCTGGATTATTTATCCAGGTATACTCCAAGTTATTTATAATAACTTAATATACTTCACCATAATTGACGGTTGTTGTACCTTAAATTTTAATTAATAGATGGATGACCAGGTCCTGTACAATTTTATTCTTATCACTGATAGCACGAGACTCTTTCAAGTTCTTAACGCACTTCTTAAACTTTAATGTTGACTGAATGTCGATCTCAAGATCTCCTCATTTACTCAAGACCAGAACTTAAAACTTAATAAAATCTACGGGAATACTGACGACACATTGCTGGATGATTAAACGCGCATATTACGCCGTAGATATATTATTATTACTAGGCTGTAGATACATATTAATTACCCAATAACCGTATTATTGACAAACATATAACTAATAGTTTAAGAGCAAAAAAAAATGATATACAGTACAACCTCGGTATAACGAATCCGAAGGCTCCGAAAAAAATTGGTTATATCGGGAATTTTTCTAATAACGGCGTTCGTTATATCGAGGTTAAATGCGACCAATATTCGTTATAAAGTGGTTCTTAAAGGTGAATTCAAACCTCTATATAACGAATTTCTCATCACTTAACCTCAGTTTAACAAATAATGATTTACAGAATAACTGTAGACCTTTGTCTTAACCTAGAAAGTACGCTACCAAAAACAGGGGAAAAACCTAAATATTTTTGAGAATAACGTAATTTATTTGACAAACTTAAATTCGTGTTGGAAATTTTATATAAAACTAAACAAATAAAAAACTACTTTTACTACGGCCATCTATGTCCATCGTTATTGAGTACCCTGATTATCGCTGAAAAAGTCAGTAATTTTTGATTGTTTACCTTGTTGTGTTAGGTTATCCATTCCACAATCCAGCAGTGACAGATTTAACAACACCATCATTTAAAGCATTTTTTTAGAAAATAACACTTATACACATTGAGGGCATGTCTTGCGCCCTTTGATGTAAAATCTGGTTGACTAACGAGTTCTTCATCCAAGTTGTCTTCTGCTTCTTCTACAGTTTCTTGCTCCCCTGCCACGGAAGATACGATTTCATCATCAGTGAGCTCTCCACAGAGTGCAACGTCATCATTAAAGCTGACAACCTCTTTAAAATCCAAGTCCACGTTTAAAGCCTCCCTCACTCTCGTCCAACATCCTTCAATTGGTTCTGGATGTTGAACTTCTGGATTGTCCTCATCTTGGTTTTGGTCACGATCATTCACTTGAAAGCCGCTTTTCTTGAAACAGTTGACAATAGTTTTATCGTTAACATTGTTCCATGCCTTTGTAAACATCCACATAGCATCTAACACACTAATTTTGATTGGAGATTGGCATTCCACGTCGTTTAAGAATTGACGGACAACCTCCCTTCTGTACTTGGTTTTGAAATTTTGTATTATTCCTTGATTATTTTCATGTCTGGACTTGTCCGTGAATCACCACAATCTATACTAAACTACGCTAAACCGATGTTTGGAACGCAGAAATGCGTAGCAAAGGGTTTCTTGCGTTCTGTAGGGGTTTGCTACACTCGATATTCATTATACAGGGGTTTTAATTTATTTCCGCAAACCGTAAAAATTCGTTATATTGAGGACTAAAACCGAAATAGTTCGTTATATAATATTCAGATAATTGTATCCAGAAACAAAATCCGTCAATTTGCACAAGCAACTGCAATATCAAATATTTTTCTCTTAAATCATATGTTTACTATATAAATCTAAAGGTACTTGAATATCAGTAACTTACTTTCTTGCATATATCACATTCATCTTTGTTATTTTACATACTACTTGCTCAAGTCTATCGTACTGCTCGAAGTAATACGGTAGTGGGTTACCAAAATATTTCACATCCACAGGAAAGGCAAAACTCCAACCCATCTGAAAATCTGTCGCATTGCTGACGTGCAGCTGTTCATTTGTAATACGAAATAAATCTCCTATACGCCAGAAAAAGAAACTTCTTGTGAACGACAGTACTTGATTCAGTTCCCTGAATATTCCACAGACTGTAAGACAAGCAGTGTTTCTCTATAAAATAAAAAGTATAGTAAGATTGGAACTCTAAGAAATGAATATGCAATTCGATAAAATTTCAATTCATCTTTGCACAAGTTTATACAGATTGAACCAAATTAAAACGGAACATACAATTTAATACATGTCTGTTTGAACTGCATTTGAAATAGTGGACCAATATAAAACTCGGACAAAAATAAATCCATACCTGGGTATAGACATTGTATAAAATATCGTTCAACTATCTGTCTCACAACAATGTTGTTTGCGTAAGACGGGTTTGTCTAAGGAAACGATAATAGTTCAGGAAATGAAGCTCGAAAATAGTTAAAACCTCGCAATTTTTTCGTCCTGCATGTATCCAGTTGAAATTTTAACAGTGGTAGGTAATAGCCCAAGGATCAAAATCTATATCGAACCGAAGTGCGCTGAAGGGTTTTAGGGGTGAAAACTACCCTAATTTTCAAAAATTATAAAATAACATATTAAACCTGAATATGAGTAAGATTTGTTTTGAATTAGTTAAATAATGATTATTTTATACTTTTGAATAGAGTTCCATTATATTTCAACCCTTAAAAAGCAACCCTTGTTAGAGATTATTGTAAAAAAATTACTAATTCTAAAAAAATGATTTCGCCTTGGATCGATTTGGATAAAAATTTGGATTTAAGATCAATTCACCCGCTGCTTTATAGTTTATGTCATGTCGACGAACCCTGATTGTTCTAAGGGGTGAAAACTACCCGTAATTGTCAAAAGATATAAAATAACATATTAAACCTGAATATGGGTAAAATTTGGTTTGAATTTATTAAATAATGATAGTTTCGTGCTTTTGAATAAAGTTCCATCATATTTCAACCCTGAAAAAGCGACCCTTATTAGAGATTAATATAAAAAAATTAGTAATGCGAAGAAAATGATTTCACCTTGGAACGATTTGCATAAAAATTTGGAATTAAGCTCAACTCACCCTCTGCTTTATAGTTTATGTCATGCCGATGAACCCAGATTGTTCTTAGGGGTGAAAACTACCCCTAATTTTCAAAAATTGTAAAATAATATTATAAATCTTAAGATGAGTGAAATTTGGTTTGGATTAGTTAAATAGTGATTTTTTTATACTTTAAAATACAAATTCATACATTTTCAACCCTTAAAAATCAACTGTTATGAGTGCTATAGGTGAAAACAATTTTTTGCCAAAATTTTGCAACTTTTCAACTTTTGAAAATCACCCTTTACAACATTTTATAAACTAATTTATAAGATATAAATTGAAAAAAGTAGAATTAAATACAAACAAATTTATCAACATAAAAAGGCACCATATATTCTTATACATTTACATAAATAGTTGAAAATATTTACATTTATAGGTAAAACAATTATAATATTAATTTTATTCGTGATCAATTACATCTTCATCGTGATCTATGTCATCCTCATCTTCAATTATTGGTGGACCATTATTGCACCCTTCACCTGAGCACCCAGAACAAGTAGAGTTACAGTATAAACCAACTTTTCTGCACCCACATGAAACACCGCATCCTTTTTTGCATTGCCAAAAAATAATTTTCAAAAGTTCATCGAGTGCAGGTTGTTTGTTCATGCGTACGGGTAATAACAAACCATCTTGGAATACCATCCCCAATCTGTCGCTCTAATATTTTCATTGCCAAGCCATAGACATATGAGCAGATGTTTTATTCTGTTGTATGGGATTTCAAAATAAGAACGCTTAAAATTTCGAATGTATAACGCACCACTAGGTAATATACCGGTTTTGTAGATTATTATGCTCCGAAATGTACTGTACTATACTAATAGAATTTTCCGGAAAAAAATTCACTGGTTTTTTTTAACGTATTTCCTTTAATTTTTAACGATAGAGTGTTTCTTCAAAAACGATTTGTAGAGGTTTTTAAGAGCTACAAGAATCTATGAATTAAATCTTTTTGGAACCCTTGGTTTTTAAATGGGGTGAGTTTAAAGGGCTCGAAAAAGATGGTGCTTGATCGTAAATCGATGCTTTAAACGGCTGTATCTCGCCAAATATTCATTGTACAACAAATCTAAATGAAGGATAATTTTAGTCATTAAAAAAGCTACAATTCGGTAATTTGTATTTTTTTCATATATTCAGTATTTTCGGGCATATTTAAAAAAAGAAGGGTAAAAAATATGAAATTGTAAATCGTTTCTCGCTTTAAGCTGTACTTTTTCTAACACAAAGCATTTTAAATGGGTCAAACTTAACGTATTGACAATACATGTACAAAGGGAATTTCAGAAGGGTGAAGATCGATTTTAATTATGAGGGTGGTTAGGGGGTTGTTTTCATCGATTTTTTCGTAAAAAATGAGGTATTGACCTCATCATAACTCCTGACCTATTTTCATCATAACTCACTCAATTTTTGAGCTAGAGTCTTTCTTATGATAGGTCTATTTATGCTCTTTAAAAAAGGTTTGTGAGTTTTCTTCCAAAAATGCATCATTTTCCCGATATTTGATTTTGAATCTTTCAAATTTGGCATTTGACGAAAACCGCTGAACATTGATAGGCCGTATTTCGGTTCCTATTATATCCCAAAAACATTTTAAAAAATGAATTGTATTTGTCTTTTTAAAAGCTACAAATTTGTTCTCTACAATTTTTTGATAAAATGCACCATTTTCGAATTATTCGCGAAAAATATATTAAAAACGTGGATTTTTTCGTCTAAAAGTTATTACTTTCAATCGCGAATAACTTGAAAAATATCATTTTATAAAAAAAATGTATAGTACATTTTTTGTTTAGAATCACTTTTTTAATCGAAACCTGTAGTTAAAACGTAAAAAAAAAATTCACCCTGGAGATGGGGTGGCTACCACCCCCTAGGCTTTGGCGCACTTTGGTTCGATATAGATTTTGATCCTTAGGCTATTACCTACCATCTGTTAAATTTCAAGTCAATCCAGGGAGCACGAAAAAATTGCGAGGTGAAATGCTTCATTTCCTGGACTATAACTGGTTTGACAGCATAAATCGTAGATTTATGTGTAGCTTTCAATTTTTATGAGTTCAGAATCCAGCAGCCCGCTGAAGTATTGGATTTTTATAATATAATTATTTGACAATATTTTGTTGGCCAACCACCTACAGCAGAATTGAGCCGAAATACATTATATTCCTATGTTCCGAATTTATTTCGTTCAATCTGTATACTAGTTTATACGCCGTGAGCTAGACCATAGGTAGGTAATTTTGAGTGTTTGAAGAGTATGAACATTTGTGAAAACCATTTTTTAGTAATGTCTAAATACAAACTTGAATACATGGCTGAAGGGTAAGAGTGTACCGTACATAGTGAACTAGGTTACTAAGGAAACTTACAAACACTAATAAATTATGTGATTTGAAAGCACCGTTGCTCAATCCTGGTATAATATGGTTGGGTCGTTTATAGACGTGAGAAACACAAGAAAGATATACTAAAACTAAAAAAGAGCGCTTCTTCTTCTTCAGTGCCTTATCCGGTCCGAATGTTGGCGATCATCACGGCTATCATGGTTTTGTTGACTGCTCTGCGAAACAGCTCCGCTGAGGTCATCCCAAACCATTGTCGGAGATTTTTCAACCACGAGATACGACGGCGTCCCGGTCCTCTTCTGCCAAATACTTTACCCTGCATAACGAGTTGAAGAATTCGATATTTTTCTTCGTTCCGCATCACGTGGCCGAGGTACTCAAGCTTACGTTGTTTAATTAAATTAAGCACTTCTTTTTTATTTGTCACGCGCTGTAGGACCTCAACGTTGGTGACATGGTCCACATAAGATATTTTTAGTATCTTTCTGTATATCCACATCTCGAAGGCTTCGATTCGTTTTTCAGTGGCTTGCGTCAGTGTCCAGGCTTCAACTCCATATAGTAACACTGGAAAAACGTAGCACCTCACTATCCGCATCTTGATTCCCAAACTGAGATCACTGCAGCACAGCAAGGATCTCAACTTAATAAATGTAGACCGTGTCATTTCAATTCTGGATTTAATCTCTTGAGCGTAGTCCCGTTGTGAGTTGAGGGTAGTTCCGAGGTAAGTGAATCTGTCGACTCTCTGGATCTCTTCGCTACCTGCCATTAGTGCCCCGGGATCTAAATTTGTACGGCTGACAACCATGAATTTAGTTTTCTTAATATTAAGGTTCAGTCCGTATGTTACGCTCACAGTTTGCACTCGGTCAAGTAAGGCCTGCATATCGTTTAGGCTGGTTGCTAGTAACACAGTGTCATCGGCGTAGCGGATATTATTGATGTATTCACCGTTCACTCGGATTCCCATCTCTAGGTTTGTGAGGGCTTCAGTAAAAATCTCCTCAGAGTATATATTGAAAGAGTCGGCGATAGCACACATCCTTGCCTTACTCCTCGCATGATCTTCACTCGGTCGGTCAGCTGGTCTTCGACCTTGACTTGAGCACGCTGGTTCCAGTATAAATTCATGATGATCCGAATGTCCTTCTCATCCAATCCTACTCTTTGTAGGGCGGTGACCATCTTCTGATGCTGACAACGGTCAAATGCCTTGGCGTAGTCAATAAAACAAATATAGACATCACAACTGGCATCGCGGCATCTCTGAAGTAGGACTTATAAGGTGAAAAGTCCTTCACGTGTACCCATGGAATTGCGGAATCCGAATTGCATTTCACCGACATTTTCTTCGCATTTTAAAATGATTTTAAAAGAGCGCTACTGTTTTTAAATATATGAATACCAAGAAACAGAAATGGGATATTTATAAAACAAAGAAAGTGGAAATATCATTAAAAAAAAATAGTCAAATTCACTATAAAAAAAAAAGGTATTACACCCGAGGGAGTACCGACAGAAGTGAAAACTTTTAATAATGAAAATGATCTGCCTCGCCCTTTTGATAATCGCCTTGTTTGTTTTTATATCTTAATATATTCGTTATCCCTCTCCCCATTTATTGAAAGACATTTCAAATGGGCGAT